CATTCCTGAGGACTCGGGTGTTATTCCTCCGTACCCAGTAAATTCACGCCATATCCCACCCGTCAAACCGAAACACAGCCATGCGAACGCAACTGCTTCACGGTTGAAACACGAATGGGACAGAGGTACCCAAGCAAATGACATTTGTACAGTCTCCCTCTGGTAATAGATAGAAGATTATTATTTATTAAATACTTATATGTAAACATGTCAAATACTCAGAGAAGCTATTTCTCCTTATTACTTCTGGTGCCTTGGTACAACGCCAATCTGATAAATAGCTCGTAATAGCGAATAGCAGGTCGTCATCAAAATATGTATGTGTATGGATGAATGTATGTATGTATGTATGTCCGAAATCCTTCACTGATTTTGGATACTGTCCAATCAGTAATTTAAATCATAATTAGTTATTTTTAAACTTCCAGCAGTTACAATATTTGATGACCTTGGCAGTTAACTGTTTAACATTGCTTCACCTTCCAATAGTTACGGATTCGATGCCCTCTCAATACAAACGTAATGTGGTCACGTGTCTGTCTGTATTTTTTTTTAATGGCTGGCGCTGGCGAGGCACCAGTGAGGGATAAGAGGTGTGAAGGAAAACCCAAATAATGAGCACGCTTAAGTTTCGCAAGTGTTTGACATTTTATGACCGCCATATTTATTTTATACTGCTCTCATACAATTCCCTATTTAATCCCTATTTAAATTGAATGTGTTGCGCTGAAGATCTCTATTTACATGTATGTGTACAAGAGTGTAATTCATACGCCCTGATTAGCCTTCGATCTTTGATAACCGACTGAAAATAGAATCCGACTGTGGAGTTTTCAATCGAATATAACCTAATTTAATGGCGGTGGTTAGTGAGCTCGCAGCGAGGTATGGATCACGCGACGGCCGACACGCGACTGACTGTCACTGTCACCCTTCAAATTTATAAGAAATCGCATTGCTTACAAGTTCTAAGAATTCCGCTATTGTTCATATTCGATCTCCTTAGCATTTATGTTGCCCTAGTATTTTAAGAGATCGCTGTAAGGAGGTGGTGGTGGTGTTTTTTTTTTTATTTATCCGGATTTCTCAAGCGTGAGAATTCTCGATTCGTTTTTTTTTTAACCAACTTCACAGGAAGTAGAAAACATAAAAGTACATCTTTTTTCTAAAACGATCATCCGCCATCGCTGCGTGCTAAAATACAAAAAAAAATAGAGTGGAAAGGGATTGTTCGTAATGAAGACTGAGAATCCCATTGCTAGCAATATACCCAACCAGGTCGACCTCCTCGCGGTTCTCCCTGGAAACTATCATGGTTAATTCCTGATGAATTCATCGTGATGGGCTAACTGGCCTGTTTTCATTCTCATCTATCACCCTTCACTGGTGCTCCGCCGGGGTTATCCCGTTAGCGCAGGCGGGGTTACCATAGGATTTTCATCCATCAAAAAAAAATACAAAAAATACTTTTAATAAACATTATAAAAAATATTTATTAAAAAAAGGGGAAATAAAAAAAAAATAGCAATTACTTGTGGTCAGCGAAGCTGTGCATTGTTGGATGTTGGATGAACCGGCACTGACCTCTATATGACTTTAGGAATTTCCCTTTTATACATATTTTCTTCTCATTTTGTTTATTGTTTTAGCCTAAGAACAAGGAATTACATAAAAGGAATGATTAAATAAAAACTGTAAATCATATGGTCGCCTCCTTTTTTCTTATGCAAATATAACTAGTAAAAAGAGGACGTAAGATACACCGTTCTTCTTACGGTACGATAACGATAGTTTTCAGGGGGAACCACGTGGAGGTCGACCTGACAGGGTATATTGCTAGCAATGGGGCTACTAATCCCCATAACTAATGATCCCTTCTCCCTCCAGGCGGCTGAGTCAGTAAAACAACCGTGTTGCTTTAGACGTGACATTTAATGTTAGCATTTTAATAAAGCGACAACGGAGTGCAAAGGGGGAAAGGGATTGTTAGAAATAGGGTCTAACTGACCCATTGCTAGCAACACATCGACATCCACGCGGTTCCCTCTGGAAACCATCGTGGTTAACTCTAGTGGAATTCATCACGGTGGACTAACTGACCAGCTTTCATCCTCACCTATCATCTTTCACTAGTGCCAAACGTGCCAAAGGGCTGGGTTACTATTCCATTATCACCCATTAAAAAAAAAACGGAGTGCAAAGGGAGACTTTGTACAAAAGTCGTTTGCTTGGGTACCTCTGTTCCATTCGTGTTTCAACCGTGAAGCAGTTGTGTTTGCATGGCTGTGTTTCGATTTGAAGGGTAGGATATGGCGTGAATTTACAAGGTACAAAGGAATAACACCTGAGTCCTCAGGAATGGCAACGCATGGGGGGTATTATGGGCGAAACGGTATACTCTGTTATGTCCACGGTACTGCTCATGTCCATAGGCGACGGTAACCACTTTCCATCAGGTGGGCCGTCAGCTTGTTTGCCATTCTAAGTTGCATAAAAAAAAAACCCTTATACCACTGACAAAACGAACATACAGTCCATCTGATGGTAAGCGGTTACCGTAGCCTATGAACGCCTGCAATACCAGGAGCGCGCGCGCGTTGCCGACCCTGAAGGAACCTCTTTGCCCCTTTTTCGAAGAACCCCATGCTGTAGTCTCTTGGGAAAACCTCGACAGGGAGCTCACTCCATAACCTTATAATAAAAGGCTTTCTTTCTTACAATTTCTTACGAGGTTTTCCCAAAAGACTACAGCATGGGGTTCTTCAAAAGGGCTGTAAAGAGGTTTCCTCAGTGTCGGCAACGCACGCGTAATACCTCTGGTATTGCAGGCGTTCATAGGCGACGGTAACCACTTTCCATCAGGTGGGCCGTAGGTGTATTTTTTTGTTTGTTACCTCATAACTTCGTCAGCTTCAAATTGGTTTCATTTGGGAAACTCTTTTGTTTTTTTAACTGAAAGCATATGCTTACAGATTGGTCCCATGGAATTTTTATCAAAATCGATTTCATTAGTTTAGTGTTTAATTAAAATAACTGGTTTTACCACAATTAAACTTGACTTATTTTCGTTGGACACAATCTTTAATTAATATACTATACAGTGATAACAAGCAAAGGAAATTAATATGAAAATGGTGGGCCGACACATTAACCCAGTACGTGCAGTACTAAATAGGCAATTAATAAACCTCTTAATAAACCATTTTGTTAGTGCACTCCACGCATTAACATAATAGGCGTCACAGTATATTCTGTGATGTCGATAATACTGTTCATGTCTATAGGCGATGGTTACCACTTAACATTAAATCTCATTTAAATAAAGGCAAAGTTTTCTTTCCAATCCACTTAAAATAGTAACTCCTCGATTCACGTAAGGAGATTGGTGGTTTCCTTAAATCGTCAGTTAAGGGGATTTAAGGGTGTCACTAAGTTTGTAAATTATAGTTTTATTTTAATATTGTTTATGTTTTCGAAGTTATTTGCTCATCATGTTGCATCGTCAATTATATTTTCTGTTATTCCTGTCTACGATCGCTTGGTAAATGCGTCATTTACAGTATCTGGGTATATTAAAGTTTAATAAATAAATAAATCTTCACAAACTAAAATTTCATCCCAATCATCTGGACGAGTGGCGGTCTTCCACCGTGCGTTTTTCAAGGCACTTTCTTCCACGCACAACCATTCTTTGGAATCAACATCCAGCAGCAGTATTTCCGAACCGATACGACAACATAACCTTCAAGAAAAGAGTATATTCCTTTTTAAAAGGCCGGCAGCACACCTGCAATGCCGCTGGTGTTGTGGGTGATCATGGGCGGCGGTAGTCACTTACCATCAGGTGAGCCGCATGCTCGTTTGCCCCCTGTATTGTAAAAAACAAAGGGGATTTAGTGGTTTCACTAAATCCCGTTAAGGGGGTCGCGGGATCCAAGTTTTTTAAAAAATTCAATGTCGTCATTATCATATCAGCTTTTAACTGTCCACTGCTGAACTTAAATCTCCCCCTAGTGGGGTTTCGCCTGTAGTTGCCAAACTTGGCAGGCAGGTTGACAACCGCAATTAAGCTTTAGAGATGTTTTAAGCGGGACGCTGCTGCTCATCCCTCGCCCTCTTAGTTGCCTCTTACAATACCCACGGGAAAGGGAGGGGTGGCCTATTCTATGCCGGGACCATCTACGGGATTATAGAAAATTACCTCACAATAATTAATGGACTTCCTATTACCAGGTACTTGTACATTGAATTTAATGTTTTATCGTCAAGCTGGTTGAGGAAAATCGAGCAATATTAGGTTCCCTGTTACAATTATGGTATGTTCTCGTAGGTTCACGGTCGCAGGCGGTCTGTGTTCCAAACCGACTAAAATAAGTTATGGGATAACTGTAATCTAAGGGGATGACCTTATCCCCTTAGTCATAAAAACTAAAGCCTTCTACAAACCTGTTTATTTTGACTATTACATTGTTTTGTCCCTCTCTTTCAGATTGAAAATTACGTGTAAAAGAATGAGACAAAACTGTTCAATAGTAGCTAAAATAGATTTGTGAGTTTTGACCTTTTTTTTATGAATATAGGCGTTTTTTTTTTAAATGGATTATAATGGAATGGTAACCCCGCCTGCGCTAACGGTATACGCTGGCGGAGCACCAGTGAGGGATGATAGGTGAGGATGAAAAGGCAGGTCAGTTAGCCCATCGTGATAATTACATTTGGAATTCAACACGATGGTTTCCAGGGAACTGCGTTGAGGTTAACCTGACAGGGTATATTGTTAGCAATTGAACTGATAGCCTGCATTGCTAACAATCTCTTCCTCTCTTATATTGGGTGTTGTGAAGACGATGGTTGCTGCTGCTGGCAACTCTTTTAGAACTTGTACAATTAGTACTTCTGCTAATAGCTTGGTAACTGCATCAAATTCTCGTGCAATTATTGTTATTTACATAAACCTTTTTGTTGTAATCTCCAACTAATCCATGTTCTCCTGGTACCAGATGTCGGTGGGCCTGCAACGGCGCGTGCCAGCGTTGGACGAGAGCGCGGGCGGCGTACCGGCGGCATGGAAGAGTGGCAACAACGACGCGCCCTTCCCTTCGTTCGCGCCGCCGGCGGGCTCTCCGGCGGGGCCCGCGTTCGCGGCTTCCCCTGCGCCGTCGACGCCGGGCCCCGGGCCCGGGTTCGCGGGCCCGCCGTACGCCGCGCCGGGGCCCTTCGGCAGCCCGTCGGCGCGGCCCGGCTCCGGCGGCGGGTTTCCCCCGGGCCCGCCGCCGCCGCAGCAGGGCCACTTCCCGGGCCCGGGGTTTGCCCCGCCGGGCTCGCCCTTCCACCCACACCCGCCACATCCGCCTATGCCGCCGCATCCACACATGATGGCTCCATTGCCACCCCCTGTTGATAGGTGAGTTCTTCTAAACATAATTAGCTATTTATCAGCTTTGTATCACAACAACAGCGTAATGTAATATTTTACAACTTTTACACCAGACTCAAATATTCCTATTAGCAAATAACCCGCCCTTTAAAAAACGTTAAACTTCTGATTTAGCTATTGAACTGTTTAGTCTCTTTTTAAATTTCCAATTTGAAAGAAAGTGACAAAACAATGGAATAGTTAAAATGTATTCGTAGAAGGTTTTAGTTGTAATGAATAATAATGGGCTAAGATTTTCTATATTTTGCGAATGGGCGAAGATAATACTATCGGTTGTTTTGTTTCGTCGAGCTGCGATCTTGTTCTGAGATCTCGTCATTTCATATCTTGATAATATGGAGTAATGAAATATTTTACATTACCCAGTCGATTTTTAAAGATTCACTCAATAATATTTTGCGAATTACAGAACATTTAATTACTAATTTATTATATAATAATGTATTACCTAGATTATTAGGATAACAGAAATACAGTTAGGTTTATACAATTAATTGTTGTGCCACGTCTCGTCAGTCTCGTATCACGTTCTGAGAATGCGTCATGTTCAGATCTCTGCATTATGAAATGGATAGGATTTGATACATAAAAATGAAATGGGTAAATATTATGTTCAATAGGGTAAACACATTTTAATGGAGGGAAAGGGATTGTTAGTAATACGGTTAAACAGCCTCATCGCTAACAATATGCCGGTCGACCTTGGTTCCCTCTGGAAATCGTCGCGGTTAAGTCTTGTTGAATTCGTCACTATGGGTTAACTGACCTGCCTTTATCCTCATCTATCCTGAATTCCTGGTAGGCACCAGTGTTTACCGATAGTGTAGACATAGTTTTTATGGGTGAAAATGGCATGGTAACTTCTCCTGCGCTATCGGTATATACTGGCGGGCACCAGTGAGTGGTGATAGGTGAGGATGAAGCAGGTCAGTTGGCCCATCTTGTTGAAATCACCTGGGATTCAGCACGATGGTTTCCAGGGGGGACCACGTGGAGATCGACCTGATACAGTATATTGCTAGCAATGAGGCTATTACACCCCATTCTTACAACCCCTTTCCCCCCGTGTATGTAGGCAGGATTACCACTCCATTATCATCCATTGAAAACAAACAAACAAACATTACATTACCAAAAGGTGCATGGCTGTGTTTCGGTTTGAAGGGTGGGATATGGCGTGAATTTGCAGGGTACAGAGGAATAACATCTGAGTCCTCAGGAATGGCAACGTATTGGGGAGTGTCATGGACGAAACAGTATACTCTGTTACGTCCACGGTACTGCTCATGTCTATAGGCAACGGTTACCACTTTTCATCAGGTGGGCCGTTAGCTTGTTTGCCATTCTAAGTTGTGTAAAAAAAAGGCGTCTATAGATTACAAGGACCGTTTACCATCAGATGCGCTGTAAGTTTGTTTGTCACCTTCGTGGTATAAAGAAAAACATACATACATACACGTACATACATATCTATGACGCCTGTCTCCCATTAGGGTAGGCAGAAACAATGGAACGCTAAATGCTTCGATTCAAACAAACCTCTTTCGCTTCCTCCACATTCATCAATCTTTTCATACACGCTCGCCGGTTACGGGCACTTTTAATTTGGCCCTTCTTCAGCACGTCGCCTATTTGGTCAACATACGTCCGTCTAGGGGCTAAAACATATTGTATGTAACGAATGTATGTACTTGACATACATTTTTTAGGCAATATCGTTAAATCAACCAAACTCTTAGATGACGATCGTGGTAATTTTGATCAGCTTACCATGGGGACTGGATGTCCTGAAGACTGCAGGTCCTAGTACCGTGTGGTCTCCGGCATAGAGTGGGCCACCCCCTCCTTTCCTGTGGGTGTCGTAAGAGGCGACTAAGGGCAACTTAATGGCAAAGGGATGGGTAGTGACCCTCTTAAAACATAACCAAAGCCTAACTACAGTTGCTGAGGGGAAAGGGATTGTTTTATTTATTTACTTATTAAATACAAAAAAAAAATTACAACAGCGAGTACATTGGACATTGTTAGCAATGAAGTTCGACTTTGCTAGCAATATGCCCTATCAGGCCGACCTCCACGTGGTTCCCCCTGGAAACCATCATGAACAATTCTTGTTGAATCCGTCACGATGGGCCAACTGACCTGCTTCATCCTCATCTATCATCCCTCACTGGTGCCGCGCCGGTGTATACCGATAGCGCGGGTGGGGTTACCATTCCATTATCACCCATTAAAAAAAAACTACGGTTGCTACGGCAACCCACCCGCCATGCTTGGCAATTACTGGTAAATCCCCACAAGCGAGAAGTTTTTGGAATGGACAGTTTTTTTTTTTAATGAACGATAATGGAATGATAACCTCGCCTGCGCTATCGGTATACGCTGGCGGAGTACTAGGGAAACATTATAGGTGAGAATGAAAAAGCAGGTCAGTAAGCCCATCGTGATGAATACATCTGGAGTACAGCACGATGGTTTCCAAGAGAAACCACTTAGAGGTCGACCTGACAGCATATATTGCTAGGAATGGGACTGGTAGTGCGCATTACTAACAATACTCTTTCAATACAATTCAATTATTGTTATTTCATGTTGTAACAATATAGGTTTAAAGTTATTGAAAGTAAAGAATCAACTTGAACCCTAGAAGGGCGTAGCAATCACATTTATAAATATTACATAAAGTACATGACTAAATTTTTATATTATATATATATATATATATATATATGTATAGTCGATTAACATAATATAAATAAATATTACAATTAAAATAAATAGGTACAAATACAATTAAATTTCCTCATTGAAAAATTCCTGTAGTGTGTAATAACTTTTTGTAATAACCTAACGGGATACGCTGGCGGAGCACCAGTGAAGGGTGATAGATGAGAACGAAAACAGGCCAGTTAGCACATCATGATAAATTCATCAGGAATTAACCACGATAGTTTTCAGGGAGAACCGCGAGGAGATCGACCTAGTTGGGAATATTGCTAGCAATGGGATTCTCAGTCTCCATTACTAACAATCCCTTTCCTCCAGCAATGGACAGTTAACGGCGCATATGATGACGGTGACTGTTGACTTATTAAAGCGTATCCTTCATTTTCGAAGTCGGTTGAATCAGTACTTAATTTGAATGACAAACATGTCGAGAAACATTTTTTTTTATAAATGTTCAGATATAAAAAACTAACATGAAACTTATAATAAGTACTAGGAATACATAAGAATCAAGACATGACATTATTGTAAAAATGGCTAAATTATCCACAGAGAATAAAATAAAATTTGTGTCAGTGCATGTGTGAGTTAGAGAGGTAAGCCCATCGGTGTTATTGTCTATGTGCGGGTGAGCTATAAAACTGCGTCAGTGTGAGTGCACAAATAAATGTAGGTGAACGGTACGTATATATTTTGTGCCGTAGCTTGTACCGATAGCACGAGAAAATAATTAACAAAAATAATTGTGTATTAGAAAAAAAAATACAATTATTAAATACTAGCGGTCCGCCCCGGCGTCGCACGGGTGGACATTTTTACATTTTAAAAAGTGGCCATTATGGCTGCACACGCGACGGAAGCTTAAAAATGGAGTAACTTCTCTTGTTTTCCCAACATTTCCCTTCACTGCTCTGCTCCTATTGATCGTAGCGTGATGAAAAGTATACTATAACCTGCCCTGGAATATAAAGAATAATTGTACCGAGTTTCGTTAAAATCCATCGAGTAGTTTTTGTTTCTATAACGAACATACAGACAGACAGACAAAAATTTTACTGATTACATTTTTGGTATCAGTATCGATCACTAATCACCCCCTAATAGTTATTTTGCAAATATATTTCATGTACAGAATTGACCTCTCTACAGATTTATTATAAGTATAGATTAGGTACCCGGCCCGGAATTGCGTGGATAGATTGATCGCTGATAATGCAGTTTTCTATGGATGTAAGAATTTTTGAAATTGGTATAAGTACTTTAAGTTTGAATGAATGAATGAATGAATATTTATTTATAAGAAAACTATGTATTTTCAATTCACATACTTCGATTTTTATTAAATTAATTTATTGAAGTTGTTAATAAACATTTAAGTGTATTTCAAATGACTTCAAAAAGAAGGAGGTTATCAATCCAGTTGTATTTTTTTTTTGTTTGTTACCATAATTCCGTCAGTTGTAAACTGATTTGAAAAATTACCTTTTTTTTTTAAATCTGAAAATAACTGACAAATGAATTTGGTTAATTAATTTATTTATTTTTTCAGTACCATTTAGTTTTAAAATCAGTCCTAATTATTAAATCTTTAATTACAAAGTGATAATTTGTCAATATAGGTCCTATAGGTCAGTCGAAGTCATTTAAAATTATTATTCATATTGATGATGTTATAAAAATGTGTGATGCAAAAAATACTTTACTAATCTAAGGGTTACTTTACGGAAGTCCATTATCATCATCATCATCATTTCAGTCGTTAACTGACCACTGCTGAATATAAGCGTCCCTCATAACAGGGTTTTGCCAGTAGTTGCTACGCTTAGCTGGCGCATTGCCAACCACAGTTAGGCTTTTGATAATGTTTTAAGAGGGACCACTGCCCGTCCTTCGACCATTAGATTCGCTTAGTCACCTCTTACAATGCCCACGGAAATGGAAGTGGGGGCCCGTTCTATACCGAGACCACACGGCAAGTCCATATCACTGATTAATCTATTAAAATTATTGTGTTTAAATCTGCTATCATCAGTAAGCGTGCGACTGCAAACATTCGAAGATTTATTTTTACATTTTTATTTCCACATACTACAATGGTAGCGGAATTGAACAAAATAATACTAATCGACTAATTAAACCAGTAAATTATATATTATTAAAAAAAAAAAATCAAATAAAATCTAATGCAACGTGATTCGTAACATTTCTGTGCGGACGGTACTCGCCCACCCCGTGTACTA